TGTGTGTGTGTGTGTGTGTGTGTGTGTGTGTGTGTGTGTGTGTGTGTTGTGTATGGTACACGTGTGGGAATGTGGGAAGCCAGGGGCCATTAGGTCCTTTGGAGATGCAGTTACAGGAAGTTGTGAGCCACCCCACGGAGGCACTAGAAACATGACTCTGGCCCTCTGGAAGAGCAGTGAGTACTCTTTGGCTCTATGACAAGGTAGTATCAAAGTACAGATGTTACCAGAACTATAGACATAGCTCAAGTGAAGTATTAATGCATGTTTAATTTTGGTTTTGAAATATTCTTTTGTAAATTACAGAAGTCACTATAAAATGCTGGGGCAGGGGAGTCTGGGGCGTGACTCTGTAGGTAAGAGTGCTTGCTGCTTTCTTCTGGCTCTGTGTGAGGGGTGCCCTACCTCATTGAGTACATTGAACTCTTCTCATCAGCTTCTGAGACGTTGATTTTACTCCCTTTTGTGTTGCTGTAACAGACCACACAGTGAGTAATTACAAGAAAGAAACTTCTCACAATCCTGAGAGCTGAGAAGCTTTAAGTCTAAGGGACATACATTGGGAATGGATCTTCTTGCTGCACCTTTTTTATGGGTGAAAATTTAAGAGCAGAATCATTCCTGTGCAAATGAGTGAGAGGAAGCAAAAGAAGATGGCTGATCTCATGGTTTTGAAAGACCCACTTGTGATGATAACGGAATGAATACGTCTTCTTGCCCTCAATGTCTCACCTCTCAACGCTCTTTGCATTTAGGGATCAGACTTGGAACACTTAAGCTTTGAGGACATAGTCTCACTACAGAGCATCAATGCTACAGTGACTTCTGGTTCTTGTTCTGATTCTTGCAGCCCTTGTGACTTGTGGCTTCTTCCTTGTCATCCTTACCCTGATGACACATCTACACCTTGGTCCTCACTGAATTTTCTGAGCCCTACTCATCACCTGGAGCCAAACCATGGCTTAAAGCTTTTGTGCCATAGAGCTGTGTATGCCCCCTTACCTCCTACCACTCTGACACCCAGCAAAAAGCAAGCTGTGAACTCTCAGCTACACTTTCTGTTCCCTGTTGAAATTATGTGGAAACTTCTGACCAAGGCTTGTTCTAGAGCAAAGAGAAACTGCAAGGGAGAGGTGAGAAGGAGACTGTAGTTTTGACTAAATACATTTCAGTTCTGCATTGCAGATACTCCCACTGAACAGTCTCTTCAAGCTTGGAACAAATTGGAGGTGGCACAAGCCTATTCCTTCATCTGCCAGTTTTGTTATTACTTTGGTTTAGTTTAAGACAAGATAGCTCACTCTGTAGCTCAGGCTGGCCTAGAACTCACTATGTCACTGAAGGAGCCCCAGACTTGATCCTGCTTCCACCTCTGGGGTAGATTACTTATTTGGAGTAGATTATATGGAGTATGAGCCACCATACTTGGCTCTTCATCTGTTTTAGTTATTTTTGCCCTTTTATTTTTTCTGCTTTTTCATGCTAGAAGCTCCCCTCCCCGGAAAGGGAAGGGTCCAGAGTATGGACATCAGGACTTACTGATTCTCAAGGGCATCTCAGAATAGGATTGTATGGGTGAACATACTAAGAGAAGAAAACACGTCAAGTGGCTTTCAAAATGATCATTCCCAATCATGGAGCAGTACTGTCTGTCAGCTGCTTGGAGCATGGTGCTAAATGAAACTAATAAAGCTCTGTCCTTAACAGGTTATGGTCTTGAGCATCTGAGAGGATGGATTCCTATATAAGGACATAGAACCAAGTGAAATGCCCATCAGTGAGGAAATGCTTAAGTCAATTATGGAATAGCCCATACTGTAGAGTCTTATACAATAAATGGTTTAAAACTAAGTGTACACATGTTCATATACTCCCGCTCCCCTTCTACCTGGGTTCCAGGGATTTAATCTGGTTTGCTCAGCAAGTGACTTTTTACCCTCCTGTCTGTCTCACAGGCACAGGCCCAAGATGGAAACTTTCCTACTTCTGTATTCTGAATGTGTCACCCTGAAAAGGTGTGCAGCATCTCCCAACTTCGGCTGACCCCTTTCAGATGTGCTCATCCAGTCTTCCATAAGACACTGTTCTGAGAATCCTCTTGTTAGGAAACGCCTCCCAACAGCTTTATTCCTGCTATCCTTGTTTCAAATATATTTTTTGTAGAGTAACAAAAGATCCTTCTTTAGTCAACCGAATAGGTCCAGACAATTTTAGAACTATACTCATTCGCTATTAAGTTTTTCGTAGACTCCCATGTGTCCCTGGTTAGCCTGTTTCATTTTTATCTAAATATTTTTTACTGTTGTATTAGACAACAGAATAAATCTCTTGCACTGGAAACTCAAGCTTCAAAAAAGGAAAATAAAGTAATACCTGTGTCGTAGAAAACAACAAGCTGACAGCTGTAATGGTATCTTTGGCATCCTCAGCATTGACTCGCAAGCTATTTCTTTTATCACACAATGTGCTGATACCAAGGAGCTTTATCTAAGAGTAACTTTAAACACCAGCTTCTCCCTTTGATCTTGTGTTTCTGCTAAGATCCAAAAGCTTCATAGTGTTTCCCTAAATAAGTCAATGATATTTAATCTAATCAGAAAATACAAGCACAGAGACTTTGATGCCAAGCATTACAGATTCCCTCTAAGTACGTATGCTGAAATTTTCTTTTCAGATGCAAGTATTGGCATTATGATGAAAACCTGCTCACTTCCAGCGTCATCATTGTCTTCCATAATGAAGGATGGTCAACTCTCATGAGGACAGTCCATAGTGTCATCAAAAGAACACCAAGGAAGTATTTAGCAGAAATTGTGTTAATTGATGATTTCAGCAATAAAGGTAATGGCTATAGACTTGGCATCTTGGCCATAAAGTTTTGGCTAATAAATTAGTCAATCATAAGTAATTATTCAAATGTGATATCAAAGTAATTCAGTTTTAAAAATGAAGGTTATCTACTGATATGTTACTATTGTCATGTGCCAAGCACTGCAGATGAATCATCCTGTCTTAGCCAATCAATAACCTCTATAATACTATAATTATGTATACAGGAAACTCAAGAGATCCCATGTGACCTGCCAACAATCATAGACGTAGTAATTAACTGCTAGACCCAAATCCATGGTTTCAAGACTTTCTTCTAGCATTGTCTGGTTCTGTACCAGTTCTGTGGGGCTTGGAAGTCACAAGAATTGAGTTATAGAAATAACTTACTGAAAGACTGAGAGACAAAGCCATGTATATTTTGCAATGCCACCTGAAGCTCCCACCATCATTTGCTTTTGTTTTGTTTTCTCATCTTGGGTTTTTTGTTTTTGTTTTGAGACATGGTTCCTCTGTGTTGCGTTGGCTACAGCTTTATGGATCAGGCTGGCCTCAAACTCACAGAGATCTGCCTGCCTTTGCCTCCCTGAGTTGCCAGGATTAAAGGCATGAGCTACCAAGCCTGACTCAGCGATAGTTTTTAAGCTGAAATCCGTATACCTGACTCACAGCCTTTATCCTGCACTCGAACAATGATGCAAATACTGAATTTGGCCTGAAAATGTGAGTGTAGCAGCCACTTTTCTTGCCGCTGAGACAAAGTACCCAACAAAGGAGCGTAAGAATGACAGAGGTTATTTTGGCTCACAGCTTGAGGGCTCATTGAGTCTACGCTGAGAAAACAAGAGGGAGATAAACGCTGTTGCTGAGCTCATGTTTTTTTTCCAGTCAAGGATGCAAGTATGTGGGATAGTGCCTCCTGCATGCAGAGGCCAGATCCTGCCAACTTATCATATTCACCATCATATTGGCCATACTGGGCTACTTTATAAATACAGAACATCTTCTGCAGCTCTTTAATTCTGTACCTGATTTAAAATAGTAAATAAGAATAAGTCATGAGTTTGTGTGTATTTGTGTGTGTTGAGAGGGAGGGAGAGAGCCGCATGTGGAAAGACCGATACCCCAGGCTCACCTTGAACTCTTCGTGTAACTTGGGAAAGCTGTATCCCTGACTACCCACCTCCACCACCCAGGTGCTGTAACCACAGGCTGGCACCGGGCTCCTTCTTTATTCTTTTAAAGGAGACCGTTACAGCAAGTGTTGGGTCATGTTGGTTCAACTTGGCAGGAGAGTGATCAAGTGGTGATTTTCTAGAAAAGTGATCTTTAAAACTCATTTTGAATAATTTTTCAATACATTGTTGTAAGTTAAATATATATTCTTCATTATATAAACGTGAAAGTAACGTTTTTGCATTTACGTCAACATGCAAATGAAAATGGGATGTTGCTATTTTAATGCAAATCTGCATGTTTATTTATTGTTTATTTTACTTGTCACAAAACAATTGAAGTTTTTGAACTGACCGAGTGTTCAGCTACTCAGTAACAACAGGGTGTTTACACTTTGGCAAACAAGTTTTTCTGTATGAGGGGTGACCACCAGATCTGATGGTCGGGTTGAAGGTAGAACATGAGTATCATGAAAATACCTTTCAGAACAGCTTTATACAGCTTCCCTCCTGCAAAACTCAGTTGAGAACTCTCCAAGTCTGGATAAACTTTTGCTGCTTCTGCAAGGACATGTCTAGAATCCTGATCTCTGCACATATGCTTACACTAAAAAAAATACAAAGTTATGACTTAGTTCCTCCCCCTCATTTTTTGCAGCTGATAACTTTTTTCAACTAATCATTTTTAATTACTCTGGATGTATAGCTTTAATTTTTTAGCTAAATTAAATATATTTAATTTGGATGTTTTATCTTGGTTGCAGTTCTCTGTGACAAATGCTTTTATCAAAAATATTTTTTCCTGCAAGGCAAATATTTGAAAATAAATTTTAGGGAGCTGAAGAGGTGGCTCAGTGGTTAAGAGTGCTGGCTGCTCTTGCAGGGGACCAGGGTTTGGTTCCCAGCACCTGTGTGAAAGCTCACCACCGTCTGTAACTCCAGCTCCAGCTGATGCTACACCCTCCCCAGGCCTCCAGGGACACAGTACACATGTGGTGCACTTACATGCAGGCAAGCTAACCCTCATACACAGAAAGTAATAGATAAATCTGCTTTTTAAAAAAAGAGAGAGAGAAGAAAATGTGCCTTAGAGTGATACTTGCTGATTATCGGAACTTTATTATTAATACTTAAAAATCAGCATTATAAAAAGAATAGGTACTTTACCATCCTAAAATAGCCTTTTGGCCCAAAAAAAGGAACAGAACTTGAGGCTTGAGCTGTTTGTGCATCTGACTTCCCTATAACTGTCTGTGCTTCATGTCACAGCTCTCTACAGTTCCAAGTCTCAAACTCAGGCAGGATCTCCTTACCACACAGTATGCAGAAACTTTTAGATTCCCCTGGAACACAAGCCCAGAAGGTCTGTAATTAGTGTTTCCGATTTCAAGAAAACATTCAAATCTGTTGCTACTTACTTCAGGAAAATTGTAGTATTTGGTTAATAAGACTCAAATAAAAATTTGGTACTTTGCCTTAAATAGATTAAGTTATTTAAAAAAATTTAGAGACAAAAATATAACATAGAACTTCTTAAGGGATCTACCTAGTCTTCATAACCTTTAGGCTTCTGGAAATGACAGCATTCCCTCTTAGCAAGATTCGGGGCCTTTAAATAGAGCAGACTCCTCCCTGCCCCTGGGTGTCTTCAACTGAGGCCAAAGTAGCTGCAGGTGGAACAGCCCCATATGCTTAGTGGTTTGCAGCGGCCAGGATCTTCTCAGTCCTACCTTAGGGTCTGCAGAAGTCGGGGTTTTCACAGTCCCACTGGATCTCATTCAGGGCCATCTCTGCTCACTGCTGATGGACCTACAGCAGCCTCAGCTGTGTACTTCCCACACAGAGATGGAGAAAAGAGGGGACCAAGGAACACAAATGGATGCTTGATGCTTCTTACAAATGGCCCACAGCCTTTCCACATGAGCCTGGGCCACTGCCAGCTCCAAGCACAGCCTGACAAACATGGGTTGTAGGAAGGCAATATTAAAGTGGCAGTGGGTATTTTGAGGCCTAAATTCAGTCTACTACAGTGTGAGGTCACAGAAAAGCCAAGAGTCTAAATTTGAAAAGTAGGTCACTCACTGTACATTTAGGTGTATTTAAAGTTTGTGTTGAAGTAACATGTCTCAAAGACAGACCTCATGGAATACAGAAAAACTTTTGAGAAGAGTGACATAGGACTGTAAAAAGCTTTGAAAGAAAAGGAGAGGACTTCTATTCAAAAGAGAGACCATGCATGCTCTTCAGTCTGTAAGACCCCAAAGGCCTAGGTTAGTTAACTCTGCTGGTCTCTTTGTAGGGTTCTTGTCCCTTCTGGGTCCTTCTGTCCTTACTCCCACTCTTCCACAAGACTCCTCAAGCTCAGCCTAATGCTTCACTGTGGGTCTCAGCATCTGTTTCCATCAGCTGCTGGGTGGAGCCTCTCAGAGGACAGCTATGCTAGGCCCCTGTGTGCAAGAATAGCAGAGTGTCATTAATAGTGTCAGGGGTTTGCTCTCTCCCATGGGGTAGGTCTCAACTGAGGCCAGTCATTGTTTGGCCATTCCCTCAATCTCTGCTCCATCTTTATCCCTCCACATCTTCTAGGCAGGGTAAATTTGGGGTTGAAGGTTTTATAGGTGGGTCGGTGTCCGTCTCCCTCCACTGGAAGTCCTGCCTGGGTAGAATGTGGCTACTTCAGTCTCCATTGCCAGTAGTTTCAGCTAGAGTCACCCGCTTATCCTTATAGGCCCCCAACACGTAAGTAACTGATGGGCAGGTTGGTCTTCATGTATGTTCCCTCGCAAGTGGAGCGGGAGCTGTCTTTGACATGGACTCTGTTGCCTGCTTCTAGATCACTTTCCCCTAGCTGGGCTGCCTTGTCTGGCCTCAGTGGAAGAGATTAAGCTTAGTCCTCATTAGGCTAGATGTGCAGGGGTGGGCTGGGAAGCTCCCTTTTTTTGAGAAGAGGAGCAGGAAAAAGGGAAGAGGCTGGGAGGGTAGGACCAGGAGGAGAGGAAGGAGGAGGCTGTGTACAAGGATGTAAAATGAATAAATTAATTAATTAATTAATTAATTTAATTTTTAAAAAATTACAAGGGAAAAACAGCTAATTTTGAAAGGGAAAAACACTAAAATTTTTAGCAGGAAAATATAATTAAGCATGAGAATTCTATTTGTTAAGCATATTAAAAGTTGGTACCTGGGCAGAATGCAGGGAATCTTATGAAAGAAGTGGGAAATAGTAAGATCTGGAGAGGACAGGAGGTCCACAAGGAGAGCAACAGAACCAAAAAATTTGAACACAGAGGTCTTTCCTGAGACTCATACTCCAACCAAGTACCATGCATGGAGATAACCTAGAACCCCTGCACAGATGTAGCCCATGGCAGTTCAGTGTCCAAGTGGGTTCCATAGTAATGGGAACAGGGACTGCCTCTGACATAAACTGATTGGCCTGCTCTTTGATCACCTCCCCCTGAGGGGGGAGCAGCCTTACCAGGCCACAGAGGAAGACAATGCAGCCACTCCTGATGAGACCTAACAGATAGGATCAGAAGGAAGAAAAAGAAATCCTCCCCTACCAGTGGACTTGGGGAAGGGCATGCGTGGAGAAGGGGGAGGAAGGGAGGAATTGGGAGGGGAGGAGGGAGGGAACTAGGGGGGGGGGATACAAAGTAAATAAAGTGCAATTAAAAAAAAAAGTTGGTACCAAGGGGCTGGCGAGATGGCTGAGCAGGTAAAAGCACTGGCTGCTTTCCTAAAGGACCTGGGTTCACTTTTCAGCACCCACATAGCAGCTCACAGCTGTCTGGAACTCCAGCACTAGGGCATCCCAGCCCTTCACACAGACACATGTGCAAGCAAAACACCAATAGGCTAAAGGCAAATAAATTGGGAAAAAAAAAGTTAGTACCAAAGTGTGTGTGTGTGTGTGTGTGTGTGTGTGTGTGTGTGTGTGAGAGAGAGAGAGAGAGAGAGAGAGAGAGAGAGATCTTAATTCTGAAAACACATATGAGTAGGTATCTTGTTGGTAATAAACTGTCTGGTGCTGTTATTCATACCTATAACACTAGTGCTTAGGAGGCAGGGACAGACGGGTCAAAAATCTAAGCCTGGGAGCACTGGCTGCTCTCCTAGAGGACCATACTTTGAGTCCCAGCACCAATAAACCAGGCACACAGTGATACTCAGACATACATACAGGGTAAACACCATACACTATAATTTTAAAACAATTTTTTAAGAGTTCCGGTCCAACCTCAGCTACATAGTGAATTTGAGGCCGGCCTTGGCTACATGACATTCTATCTTGCCACCAGCTCAAATCTAGATATAGCCAAAAAAAAAAAAAAAAAAAAAAAAAAAGGGGAGTTTTGTACTGGTGAGCCAAATCTTTAACAATTTTAGGACAATTTTTGTGTCCTCAGGAAGCATCGCAGCAGGATCCAGGAGCTTGTTCTAACTGGTGAGCCAATTTCCTGGGCTCACAGTGATAAACAAAAGCTGTTATTTTACAATAGGAAGCCAAGGTGTGAACTTTGCCAATTGTGCCTGGGTTTTCATAACATAGAATTCCCAATACTGAATTACAAACATACATGTATATGTAATTATAATAATTATACCTTAATTATACACGCACTTGTAATGCTAAGCTGCAGACAAAAAAAAAAAAAAAAAAAAAATGGTCTTTTGATGGTTAGAGGCCAACCTGTTGGCTAGACTTCATCACAGCAAGACTGCAATTTTCCATACCTTTTGTGGTTGGAGAAAGAAGCCCAAAAACAAACTTAAGCAGCCTATGCCCTGTGCAGACCCCTGGGGAGTTGCAGGACATTATCAATAGATTGTGTATCTTCAAAAATCCTGAACTTCTTTCAACTGCAAAATATTATATATATATATATATTAAAATATATATATAAATATTTATATATATATTTATATATTAATATATAATATTTTATATATATAAAATTAAAAATATTATATATACAATATTTTTAATTCTGACATTTTTAAGTTTTAATATTCACTTTATGTTCATAGAAATGCTTGATATTTTTTATGCTACTCAATCCTTTGTAGATTTGTTAAGCTTAAAATTTAACATACAACACATGACTTCCACCTTTCTTTGGTGTGATGGCAGAGGACCAAACCCAAGGTATCAGAAATGTTTTGTACTTGGTCTACCACTAAAATTCACCTCCAGCCCTTAGCCTCCATCTTACTTGATTTAACAGTTGGTCTAACCCATGTACAATTAATGACTGCACAGCACATCTGTATTCAGTCTTTGTCTGTTTGTCTGTCTTGGGGGGCCCGAGACAGGGTTTCTCTGTGTACCCTTAGCTGGCCTCAAACTCACAGTGACCTGCCTGCCTCTGCCTCCCTGAGTGCTGGGATTACAAGCCTGCACCACCACGGACTTGTTTCTTGAGAGGGAAGGGAAATGTTTCTCTGTAAAAGTCTATAATGTTAATTTGTGTTGGTTTTTTTTTAATTCACAGAACACTTAAAAGAAAAACTGGATGACTACATAAAGCTGTGGAATGGCCTTGTGAAAGTTTTTCGAAATGAGAGGAGAGAGGGTTTAATCCAGGCTCGAAGCATCGGTGCACAGAAGGCTAAACTCGGACAGGTAGGAAAATGTGTGCTGTTAGTGTCAGCACTTCCTTTTTGGTGACTAAAAGATCAGATATATTTTGTATTTTCCTTTGGTTTTTTGGGTTTGTTTTTTTTTTAATGAAATGAGAATGTGGTTTGAGCAGATAAGTTATATGGCAAAATTGATTAAAATGCTAATTTACATTAGCATCTAATTTTAAATTGTGTGTGATATATGATGTACCGTATGTGAGGAGTATTCTTTCACCCTGCCTCTTTTTTTTAAGGTTTTGATATACCTTGATGCCCACTGTGAGGTGGCAGTTAACTGGTATGCTCCACTTGTAGCTCCCATATCTAAGGACAGGTAACATCACCTTGCTTTTTTTTTCTTTCCTAGTTGAAAAGTAAACCTTGTCCTAGAAGGACAAACACTCTTCTCCTCTGTGACCCCCACTCCACCTAGTTCGCCAGATGTTGTGTGAGAAGTGTTTTCCTTGAGCTGTTTGTCTCATGGGTGGAGCCAGATGGATGCTTTGGACTGATTCGAACATAGCCAGCCTGTATTTGGAGCCCCTTGCAGAACTATCTTAGTATTCTGTTGAGCCTTTGTCACAGAGTAATAGCAATTGTTCCCTCTAAGCTGGATAAATGCTCTGAAGACTTGAGGAAGCATTCCTTGAAATGAGCCTTTGTGTTTCTCCTGACCTTTTAAATGATTACTTTAGATGGTAAGGGCCAACTGTCACTTGGGTCAAGTGTTTGGGTTCCTCTGAAACTTAAAAGTTTAGAAATAGACAAGTGTGCCATAGAAAGCAGTAATAACCATTAAATTGACAGAAATGTCTAAAACACCAGAAGGCAGCATCAGTCCCTAGTTGCAAAAGCTTTTGTTGCTTCCTGTTCAGAATTCTATTTCAGAATCTAGGCAAATGCAGCATATTCTTGTTGCAAACAGCACGGGTCAGGGGAAGAACTTGGGAGACTGTCTCACCAGATGAAGGGTGAAGGAAGGCCCATCATGAGCACTGAGTGCATGCTTGTCTGGCTTAATCCCCACAGCTGCCTGCCAGGTAGACATGGTTAGCCACACTTGACAAAGACAGTACTAGGGCTTGAAGAAACTAATTTACCACGAGTCTGATACTTAATGGCCTGTCAGACAGGTCTCTGGGCTTCTTTACATTTCAACATTTATTTTTAAGTTGTGAAAAGCAAACAGCGAGAGGAAAGATACTTAACCAGATCGCCAGGTCACTATCTCCAGGGCAACGTGGAAGTCTTCCCGATAGCAAGAACGTGGTTTCCAGAGGTTCCGGTGAGAACCCATGTGTCATGCAGTGGCCCTCCCTGAGTTTATGTTCAGAAGGGAAGTAAGCTCTCTTCTAGAATCCACTTCTCTCATATCAAAGCTCTAAGTCCCATAGAGTTTTGTTTTGTTTTGTTTTGTTTTGTTTTTCTGTGATCTCCAGTTTGGGAAACCCATTCTCAATCCTTTCTGATATGATGAGCAAGAATCAAGATCATTGTAACGGCAACTCAGTATCCAATTGGTTATTCATCAACCCAGTATCCAAGTGGTCATCTGACAAAACCCAAATGCAAGGAAAAAGTTTTTTCTTTTATCCTACAAATTCTTAGTTCATTCCTTAAGTTCCTCAACAGATACTGACTGAAGCATCGTTCTTGCTTATTTTTTTTTTATGAAATAAAATGCAGAACCTGAGGTTTTAGTTTTATTTAAGGGAGGAGGGAAGAAAATTAAGTAAAAGAAAGAAAGACTCTTCATAGTAACTACTTCCAAAGAATCAGAAGGCAGCAGAGTTGAAAGGAGCTGTTTCCAGTGTGCTGTCAGTCGTGCATACACAAAAACTTGAAGTCATTTTTTAATGGGGGACACGGGGGGAAAGCAACAGGCAGAATAATCTTATTAACACTACAGAATTACTATGAGCTAGTATTGCCAAAGAAAAAAGGAAGAAATATCTGATAAGCTCAGTGGCATGGCTCTTTGCCCCAGGTGTTTGGACAGTGAGGATAAACTCCCTTCCATCCTGCCCTTATGCTGATGCAGGCCTTGGCTTTCAGGAGACCTTATTTTACTCTATGCCCACATTAGATCATGGGTTTCCTAATGCAAAATGGAACCAAGTACAAAGGGAGCCGATGTAGTTAGGCATGCGGAACTAGTCAGTTTGGGGTTCTTAAATGCGTTTTCATTTTCTGTAAATGTTTCAGAGCTACATGTACTGTGCCTCTAATAGATTACATAGACGGGAATGATTATTCCATTGAGCCACAGCAAGGTGGGGATGAAGATGGTTTTGCCAGAGGGGCCTGGGACTGGAGTTTGCTATGGAAACGTATTCCACTAAGCCACAAGGAAAAGGCCAAAAGAAAACATAAAACTGAACCTTATCGGTAAAGATTATTACTTTATTTTGTGTGTGTGTTGAATGTTTACCTAAGTCCTTTTTTTTCCTTCCCTATGAACTCGTTTAAATATGTGGGTCCATACATATGTTTCCATTTGATCTCGCTGCATCATCAACACAACACAGAACCATTTGCACTGTGCCGATTATAGATGTCATAAATGGCAACACATATGAAATTGTCCCCCAAGGGGGTGGTGATGAAGATGGGTATGCCCGAGGAGCATGGGATTGGAGTATGCTCTGGAAACGGGTGCCTCTGACCCCTCGCGAGAAGAGACTGAGAAAGACAAAAACTGAACCGTATCGGTAATCACTAAATCACTTACCTACCTCCCTTTTCTCTGGTTGCTGCTAACCTGTTAACCTCTTGCCACGTTGAAAACTCGCTGTAAGAACTGGAGCTGCCGTCTCAAATCCTGACAGAGCTTTGCTCCTTGCAGCTTCAGAGCTTTGATGAATTCACATTGGCTCCTGTAACAGCTTTCTCCCTAAATGCAAGCTCCACTAATGTGAATTATACTCTTTCATTGGGGAAGAAGTAATGTGAAAGGCATTATTAACTTGAAGCATAAATAGGAAAGGAGGAAATAGCTCTTTCCTGCTGTCCTGGGAGACCAAACGGCAGAGTATATTCTATAAATTCAAAATACATAAAGTGCTGGCAACTCGAGACTTGCAATTTGCACTTTTAAGTTTGGATGAGGTGTTGAACAGTGAATAACACCAGCAAGAGATTGTGGGGTTCTCCCTTTTGTTTTATATACTAAAACTCTGATACTAATTGTGTATCAGTTCAATGTGATGAATACGAATACACGACTTTAGACGATGTGTAGAATCCTTTGTTGTTTGGTTCTCAAAAGAATGCTTGATTAAAAGCTCAATCCCCAAGTCGGCTTTTGTCCCTTCTTGTGGCTCTTCAAACAGAACGACTGTTGTTACTATCTTCTTTTGGTCTTTTAATTGGAACATTTTACAGACTTTCAAAAAGTGACCCCCAAATGAAATGTTAGTATAACCGTGCCCATAATGTTTTTGTTTTTATTTATTTGTGTGTTCCCATACTGTGGTTCTGCTTTTCTTCTCTTTCTCCTTTCACGCTGCTTATATTGTCAGAGCTCGTTTGCAGAAGTGCTTTCGTGTTGTGAATTTGGGCATGTTGTGATCAGGACACTGAATGGCAAACATGAGGAAATTACAGGACTTTTGTACTGGACATCTTCCAAATTCTTACTGAAAACTTTTAAGGTTCAGAATAATCTAGGAATCCGTTGCTGGCCTGTCTAAACTCACAAGTCACCTAGGAGAAAAAGATAAACGGTTCACTGCCTACCTTGGTTTGTCCAGCAGTTCCATAAAAAGGCATATTTTTAAAGTAAACTAGGAAAATGTAAGGAGGATCCCTTTAATTAGCTTACTAGTGAGCGTGTTAAAGCTGCACCTTCAAGTATGTGCTGAGATATGAATATATTTTGAAGAGCAAAAGGGCACAATCCTAATGAAATTATGCTAAATGGCAGCTAAATAAATAGGACATGAAAGCTAACCAAAATGTACGAGCTTAGTGATTTAGGCAGTGTATTTTGAAGGAGAAAAGCATAAGAGAATAACTGTTTTTTTGGTGGGATTTTCTGTCAGTACTAAAAATATTAACCCCACTCATTCTCTGTTCAGCATACATTTGTTGACCCTTTACTTAGCACCAGCCTCTATTTTAGGGGCGCATGACCTTTTAAAATATAAATAATTAAATATGCTCTCATGGAATGTATAGTATAGTAAGTGCACACACACACGCACACCTTTCCAAGGTGGAGTCAGTAGGACTCAGTGACAGACTGACATTAACATGAATGATGAGTAAGGAATTCTAACAGTATCCAATTGCCCAAAGTTTAAGACATGTTAATTATTGCTTCATGGTAAGAAGGAAAGCCCAGAATGCGATGAAATTATTCTGCTACCAGGATATTCAATAATTGGAATGACTTGACTCTAAAAAGTGATAGAATGCTTTTTCTCTTTCTCCTAAAATGTTCCGAACTTACGATCTGTTCAGGGAAGACCACAGGCCCCTGTTTGCCCTCTGAACTCTTGCTACAGCGGAAGTCCATGCCACAAATCCTGTTCCTTAGGTCATTCCTATGCTCCATTTGCAAACTCTGAATGAACCGGGCTGTTCTGTGCTGATTTACACCATTATTTGACAAGGCCTTGAGCTATAAGATTTACACAATGAGAGTCTACTTCCATGGTGTATAGTTTCTTTCATCCCAGAATGACTCAAATCACAAAAGAAGAAGTCAACAGACACTGTCCAATGGATGGGTCTGTGCTTCAGGAGTGAAAGAGAAATTTTTATCTTAATTACAAAATTGCTTAAATCAACAAAAGAACCAAGGCACCCTCTAGTGGCGAAACAGCAGAGTAGTCTAAAGAATTGTTTAAGAAGTTTTGGTAAATTCAGAGATTTGAGCACATTCTTTTATGAAGGATTTAGTTTCTTAGTGTTTGGCCATCAGTCTTGTCTCTTCTGTGCATTCTTACGCTGTATTCCCAAAGGCTGTCTGTCTGTTGGTAAAGGGATGCCAGGGCTTTGTTTTTAATATTTATTGCATGCAGTGTCTTTTCCTTAGGTCTCCAGCTATGGCTGGTGGATTATTTGCCATTGAAAGAGAGTTCTTCTTCGAACTGGGTCTCTATGATCCTGGTCTCCAAATCTGGGGTGGTGAAAACTTTGAAATATCATACAAGGTAACATTTCACTCTAACAAATGCTGTTTTCTAAGTAGTTTGGGTGTTGTTTGTTCCTTTGGGGGTTGAGTTGTGTCTGTGTCCCTCTGTGCAGTTCTGGCTGTACTGGAACTCACTATATAGACCAAGCTGTCCTTAAACTCACCAAGATCCACCTGCCTTTGCCTCTGGTTGCTGGAACTAAAGGCTTGTGTGTCCACACCCTACCTCTAGTACTAACTAGTTACCCAACTTTTAGGACTTTCAATTAAAGCTAAGAGTTTTTGTTTGTTTGTTTGCGTGCTTGCTTGTTTGATTTTCAAGACAGGGTCTCTCTGTGTAGCCCTGGCTGTCCTGAAACTTTCTTTGTAGATCAGGCTGTCCTCAAAACTTAAGGATCCCCTTAAGTCTGCCCCCAACCTTCAACAGGGCATGGTGCACACACCTTTAATCTTAGCACTCGAGGTTGATCTCTGTGAGTTCGAGGCCAGCCTGGTCTACAAAGTGAGTCCAGGACAGCCAGGGCTACACAGAGAAACCCTGTCTCAAAAAAACAAAACAAAACAAAACAAAAAAAAACAAACCAACAAAAAAAAAAGCTGTGCGCCTTCATCACAGCTAGGGTTTTTTTTTTGTTTTGTTTTTTTTGTTTTTTTTTGATTGTTTGGTTCTTTGGTTGGTTTTTGCTTTTTAAGAAAAAAATATGTATGTAATGTTTCTCTAAATTACTAGAAATGTCTCAATAAAGCATTGCTCTTAGGATAAATAAAGTAAAATGATTACTTGTCTGTAGAGCTCAACCTAGAAATCTGGCCAACAAGCTTCAAAAACGGAAATGGCCTCTGTCCTGCACCCGGGCTTTCTGTGCATTGGAGCCTTGGGTTATAATAGCCCTTTGAAGGGGCTGCATGTTAACTCTGTACTGTCATGGGGATCTTCGACCTCTTTGATCACCTTCAGACATGGTGATCAAAGCAGACGCATAGTGACTGGCATCCTCCAGGTGTCATTGGAGCTGCCGTCCTGCTTGGTCTGACTCTGCCTCAGTCCTGCCCCGTTTTCAGAGATGCGGGAGGGAAGAGATATCAGATATTCATTGCTTCTTGTCTTAAATATCCTGTTTTAGTATTATGAGGGTTAGACTAGGGACAGCTAACCCTTGCTGTTAAAGAACTTAAAGACTCGAAATATTTGTAAACTTCTAATGTAGTAAATTTATAAAAAGGCGAAGACATTCGCTTGATGAGTTGAAGAAAATGCCACCATGATGGAGGCAGAATTTGAGGGAGAAATAAGATTCATGACTTCAGTAAGCAGAGATAAATGGAGAGCAGGTCTCCTTAAGTACATAAAATAAGGGAAGAGGCAAAGACGTGAGTGTGAAGACCGTATTTGCAAGTGCGGGAGCCGTTTGATGGAATCAAGAGGCATGATTAAGAAGCATGATTAAGTGTCTTAAAGTGGACCCTACTAAAGAGTCTTACATGCTGAGTTCAGAGGTTCCCCAGTCCTAGTTTGATAAGCAGAAGGCAGCCACCAAACACTAAGCCAGGCAATAACATGACCCAAAGCTATAGTAATTTCTTGCTATAAATAAGGATAGAGTTAAGTAGAAAGGAGTTCAAGGTGAAGCCTTGAACTTAGGTGGTTAGGAGGTTAGTACAGTAATCGCCGAGGTGGGAAATCAGTTAACATCAGAAGCAACAGGTATTGTTAGGATTAATAATTTATATTATATTGAGGTTATATTGAGAAAGGGCTCCTGGGTCTACAAGTAACTTATATACATTGCCGCTACCTTTCTTGTTCTTACATGTGTTTCTAACATAATTGATTATTTTAGAATTGGGTTAGTTTAGAATTCAGTGCGGATATTATGTCTAATTTAAAATTTACATAAGAAATATTCTATTATTTTTTTGCATTTCTGATCACTTTTACAATATTTGTTTTTCCTTGTTAGATCTGGCAGTGCGGTGGCAAATTATTATTTGTCCCTTGTTCCCGTGTTGGGCACATCTACCGTCTTGAGGGCTGGCAAGGAAATCCTCCACCCCTGTATGTTGGGTCTTCTCCAACTCTTAAGGTGAGGCTTTGTTGTTGTTAAAGGGAGAGAAGGGAAGAGAACTGAAATTTATGTACCGCTTCACTTCACTCTCAGCTCACTGACTGGGAAAAAGCCCTAAGGAGTCAGCGGCTCTTTCTCGTAAGCCAAGGCTAGACTTACTGATGCAGTATCTTACTATTCTTTAATTTTAGCCCTGTTGCTTTTCATTTATGCTATGACAAGGAGTGAATGTATTTATACTGTATCACCGTATTTGATATACACACACACTGGGGAATCGTTAAAACCTGTTCTGTGTATATACTACATAACGTTCTAACCAGTGCTAACATCTACTTAGCTTTCCTGTTCCCCAAACTCTGGTAGCCAGCATGTCACTATACACAGATTTCTCTGACATCCGCCTGTGAGGTAGCACACGTGCTCCTCTTTTTTTAAGATTTCTTTATTTATTATGTATACAATGTTCTATCTGCATGTACATCTGCACACCAGGAGAGGGCACCAGATCTCATTATAGATGATTATGAGCCACCTTGTGGTTGCTGGGAATTGAACTCAGGACCTCTGGAAGAGCAGCCAGTGCTCTTAACCTCTGAGCCATGTCTCCAGCCCCTTCCCCCTTTTTAAGACCGGGCATTCCATTGTGCATATCACATTTTCTTTATTCATTCATCAGTTGGCAGACACTTAGGTTAATTGCAAATATTGGTCATTATGCTTGAAAATTCTGCAGAGAAGCGCAGGCATCTCACTGGTAGATCAAGTCCACATCCTTAAGGAATATTCCGCACTGAGGTTGCTGGACCATAGAGTCTTTCTCTTGTAATTTTAATGGGGGAACTCCCATACTGTTCTCCACATGGTTGTGATAACTTATATTCCTGTTGTTTGGAAGGATTCCATTCTTACCTGTATCCTCACAAGCACTTAACTTTGGTCTCTTTGGTAATAGCTGCTCTAGCAGACATGAGTTGATGCTGCCTTATGGTTTTAACTTGCTTTCCCTGAGGTGATTAGTGATGGAGAGCATCTAATCGTGTGCCTTTCAGCCCTTTGTCTTCTAAAAAATGTGCGTCAGGTGATTTGCCCATTTAGAAAAAAAATCAGGTTACGTGTACCCTACTATGAGTTGTCTCGAACTTTTCCTACGTTGTGGATATTAACTTCCTGCCAGGTGTGTGTGTCACACATACATTCTCTCCAAAAGGTGTGCCTCTTCACCCAACTCTTTGTCACAGCACCACGGCTTTTAGTTTGCTGTGATCTCATTTGTGTATTTTTGCTTTGCTCACCTATGCAAATATATCTTTGCACAAACTAATGTCATAAAACTTTTGTTACACCATCCTTCTAAGAGTTTTTGTTCGGGGTCTTACACTCAAGTCTTTAATCTCTTCTGGCTTGGTTTTCATATGTTCTTGAGAAGAAGATTGATTTTAATTTGAGGGTGGATAATCAGTGTTCTCAACCCCAGTTATTGAAGGAGACTGTCTTTTCCCTGTTATGTGCTCTTGGCACCTTATAGGAAAATCAGTCAGGCGTGCCTGGGCTCTCGGTGTCTATTTTTATTGCTGGGACCATTCTTTGTGACAGATTTTGAAATTAGGGAGTGTAATGCCCCTGGATTTAATATTTTGTTCAATATTACTTGAGTATTCAGGCTCTTTTTTGCTACCATGTGGATTTTAAGTTTGATTTTTCTATTTCTTTATCTTCCACTTGTATTTATTTATCTTAGTGGAGGTAGGGGGCACAGGGGCCTTATGGTGCCTAAGTGGAGGCCAGAGGTCAGCTTGTGAGACTCAAGTCTCTCTTTGCATGATGTGGACTCCACCAAGTTGGCTCCAAAGACCAAACTTGGGCCATCACGCCTGGAAAAAAGAGTCTTTCCCCACTGAGCCATCTCACCAGCCTGTGATTTTTCTGTGTTTATAAAAACTGTAATTGGTGTTTTGTAGATCACTTTGGGGAGTGTAATGCTACCCAAAAAAACTAGTATTCTTGAGGAATTTCCAATATCAGTTCTTCCCATCCATGAAATGGGATGTTTCCACATTTCTTTTTTTTTTTATTATTATTCAGTATGCAGATCTTTCATTTCCATTGTTAAGTTTGTTTCTAAAGGCTTTTCTGTGTTTATTTGTTACCTATTCCCACTTTAGTAACCCTTCTTTAGCCCAAAAAGAAAATTTAATGTGAACAGTAGTTATCCCTACTCTTGATGTAAAACAGAAGACAGTGACTGTGGTCAGCAAGGCAAATCCAGCCCTCTGGCACCTGGCCACAGCCATTACTGCTAGAACAGACCTGACGAATTTACTAGATACTCATTGGTCCATGAAACTGGAAATGCTTACTTCAAATTCTTTGTATTATTCCATGTGTCTGTGTATGGTATGTGTATATGTGTGCATGCATGTTCACATGGATGAGGGCACATGTTGGCCCAAGGCTAACATTAGGAGTCTTCTGTCAGTGCTTTCCACCATATTCACTGAAGCAGGGTCTCTCAGTTGAACCTAAAAGTTGCCCGTAAAGCTAGTCTAACTTCCAACTCCCCCCAGGGATCTCTCTCTTGCCTTCCTTCCAAGTGCTAGAATTACAGATAAGCAACCACTCCAATGTGCCATTTGTGTGGGTTCTAGAGATCCAAACTCTGATCCTCATGCTGGAGTGGCAAGCGCTTTATTCACTGAACCATCCCCCCAGCTTCTCACACATACCTCTCTATAAAGAAAATGCTGGTGTGTGGTGTCAAAGATGCAAGATCAGTGGAAAGAGTAAATACCAGTCCAGTCTCATATTCAAGCAAGTAGCCAATAATTTCGTCAAACTCTGCAAGTTCAGTTTTTGTTAGTTATGGCAGAGTCAGTAGCTGCTTTTCCTCCATGAAACCCACCTATGGAAGATGTACAGTTAATTTGGGGTAATAGTAAAGTGGTTCTATTATAGTCGTGAAAAGAATAAGTTACCTGCAGAGCAATTATTTGTAATGATGGTTTTGAAAGTGAGATTTTTCCCTATACATGTCAATAATGTAGTTCTAATAGAAAGGAGCGGGATGAGAAGGAACACCACTGTCCAGCCAGGCTCTCAGAAACCCAGTCTGGGCTTACTTTTTTCATCTGTTATCAGAATAGAATGCATTATATTTTATAATTTGTCTTATCATTATTATAGTATCATTATGACCTTCCAGCTCAGGGTTGGCTGATTTTACATACATTGTTTTTTTATTATTATTATTTATTACAATTTATTCACTTTGTATCCCAGCTGTACCCCTTCCCTCATTCCCCCTAATCCCACCCTCCCTCCCTCTTCTCCTCCTATGCCCCTTCCCCAGTCCACTGATGGGGGAGGTCCTCCTCCCCTTCCCTCTGACCCTAGCCTATCAGGTCTCATCAGGACTGGCTGCATCATCTTCCTCTGTGGCCTGATAAGGATGTCCCCCTGGGGGAAGGTGATCAAAGAGAAAGCCCCAGTTCCCCTTACTAGGGAACCCACTTGGATACTGAGCTGCCATGGGCTACATCTGTGCAGGGGTTCTAGGTTATCTCCATGAATGGTCCTTGGTTGGAGTATCAGTCTCAGAAGACTCCTGGGCCCAGATTTTTTTGCTTCTGTTGCTCTCCTTGTGGCATTCCAGTCCTCTTGTACATTACTTTTTAACTGAATATACATACCTGAAATTTTTATACTTGGAAAATGACATATTAATATTATTAACTCTCTTATTTTCATTGATTAATTAAATGCCAAGTACTGACTGGATGAGTTCACTGTTAGTTAATTTTATAAAACTGTGCCTGCTTTTCAGTTTCTCTCTTAACCCAGCTATCACACAAATAATTGAGACTCCTTTATATTTTTTAGTAATAAGCTGCACAACATAAGAACTGAGCAGTTATTACTCTATTCTTAACCCTCTAAGCTAATCTGGTTTCCTCCCAGCATGCATCCCAGAGATACTTGCACTTTGTAGCTTTTCCACTCCAGCTTTTTCTCATGCTGTCTCTTCTGGTCATCCACCCTTGGCTCAGTTCCCTGGCTGAATCCCTGACTTCCTCATCTAACTTCTCCCCTGGCTAGCAGGAAGTCCAGCCTTCTTCTTTCCCCTGCTTAGTGATTAGCTGTAAGCTGCTTTATTGGCATACCAGGGGACAGTTGGGGAGCAGTTTATACAACACTGAGACAGAAGACTCTTGGAACAAGTCTTGCAACCAGATATGGGAGGTACAGAAATCAGCATTTAAGTTACTCAATAATTTTGTCTACAGTTCCTTACATTTTGTTTGTATTCTGAACATCTAAAGTAGACTGTTTATGCCATTATAGTTATTTCTGCATCACTTAATGACTATAATTTTTCTTTCCCCAGAATTACGTTAGAGTTGTAGAAGTCTGGTGGGATGAATATAAAGAATATTTCTATGCTAGCCGTCCTGAGTCAAAGGCACTGCCCTATGGAGATATATCTGAGCTGAAGAAATTTCGAGAAGATCACAACTGCAAAAGTTTCAAATGGTTTATGGAAGAAATAGCTTATGACATCACTGCCCACTACCCTTTGCCACCCAGAAATGTTGAGTGGGGAGAAGTAAGTATCAGCCAATATTTAGAAATCAAAATGTGTATATTTGGAGTCAGTGTTTGGAAGAAGGCGAAGAAAAAAATGGGAAGGTATTCAGAATACCTTGAGAATTCTTACAGAAATGTTTGACTAAAAACTGCCTGGCAGCAAGCCCTATCCTTCACCAAATCATCAGAGTTGCCCCGACCATGACAGCACTCTATCTCCCTCACAGCCTTTACACATGTGGCTGTCAGTAAAACAACCCCCATCTCTCCATCTCCAGCACCCACCTTGCCCTGGCTGTCATTCTGCCTCCTTTTCTTGGTCACTTCCAGTTTCACTTACTGCTCTAATCTTGGAGATCATAAATACTGAAAATTGTTTCTTTATTCTCTATTTCTTCAAAGCCATTCAGGCCTGTTCTCTCTCCATGGGTTCTCACAACACCCCACAATCACCCACCTTCTAATGTACAAGTTACTCACACAGCACTTGTCAAATGAATTGGGCAAAGGCATTAATCTGTATGGTCATTTCCTATTTCTTCTGACTTGCCTCTGGCATCAATTCTGATTGTACTCACACTTCTGCCTTCTGTTGCTGCCTCACAGGTAACTGAACATGCTTTCAGATTTCAAGACCATATGTCTTGGTTAATCTGTGCATTTGGCAAATATTGATTGAGGGCCTAGTATGTGCCAGTCACTCATCTAGGCAAAAAACAGACAAGCCCACTTTCTTCAAGGAACATTTTTGCTGGAGGGGGTGGAGAGAGAACAGAGCAGTCCTGAAAAGCAAAGATCATGACAAGATGGTTAATGGCTACAAAAGAAATGAGGATGAGGTACCATCTTAAGGAGGTAGGGACTGGTAGGGAAGGCTTTTCTGAGGATATAACATTTATCTGTATGACAGTGACCTAGCCAGTCAGAGAGCCAAGAGAAAGTATTACAAACAGAGAAAATGGTGAATTCAAAGTCATGAAGTTGTGTTAGTTACTCTTCTGTTGCTGTGATAAAATAACATGACTAAAGAAATTCATAAAAGAGTTTGGGCATGTGGTTCTAAAGGCAAAGAGTCTGTCAAAATGAGCAAGTGGCAGGGATGGCAACAAGCATGGCAGCTGGAGTAGCAAGCTAGGAGCTCTCATCTTTCACCGAAAGCACCAAGCAGAAGGGGAAGTGGAAATGGTGAGAGTCTTCAAACTCTCCAAACTCACTTACTGTGACATACTTCCTCCCGTAAGGCCATACCTCCTAAGCCTCTCCAAACAGTGCCAACCCACTGGGGATAGAGTGCCTCTGGGGAACATTCTCATTCAAACCACCACAAAAACACATTGCACATTTGAGAAGCAGAATAGAAAAAATTTGGTGAAGTGGGATGGCTGGGCGGGGTGTTGGGTCGGGGTGACTTTCATTCTAAGGATGGTGAGCGGTCCATGGAGAATTTAAAACAGAAAGACAGTGAGGTTTGATGTTTTTTGGTTTTAATCACCTGCTGGGAGTATTTAGAGTAGAAATAGGGATGGACAGGGACATTCTGGTGAGAATGGTGATGGCTTAGAGGAAGGTGGTACAAGATATACAAGGTACAAGACATACAAGGCACACGCTGTAAGTCACAGATGTCATAAGAATGTGGGGATAGGGTAGGGAAGATCAATATGTGAACGGTTAGGGCTGGGATGTTGCAGTTTTCTAGTTGAGTCGTTGGTTGTGATCGGGAGCACAGTAGAAAGCAAGTGTGGAGGTGTTGAGAAAGAACACTTCTGTCTGTTGGCGTTCAGCACATACAGGGTACCTTGTAGACTGCCAGGTTCAACTGTCAGCTCCTGATGACTGAAGATCTTGAGCTGAACCCCAGAAAAGAGGCCTTTCTGGAGATGAACATCTGGAAACCGTTAGCATGTAGTTTAATGACACTGCAGCCATATAGGGAGAAATACAGGCCAACAAGAGAGGTCTGAATCCATTCATAAGACTCTCCAGAGTTTCAGGTTTGGGAATAAGAAGAAACACGGGACACTGAAATTACTGCCTTTGTACTCTGTTTCAATGCCTTTTTCTTTCCTCTGCTCTCTTATTTTAGCTCTCCTGTTATAGCAAGCTAGTAACCCACTAGGAAAAAATTAATTTGGGGAAGTCCAGATCACACTTACTTACATTTTAATCTGCCAGAAACCCTCTGTGTGGAAGGAAGAAATTCTGCTTTGACCTTAGTCAGCCCCCTGGGTCTAAAGTCATCTTTGTACAAATGGCTGCTAGATTTGATCTTCAACTCAACTTTCTCTCCCAGAGCCTAGACAAATACATTCAGCCCTATTCTTTTCTTGTTGTTGTTTTGCTTTGATTTTTCGAGATAGGGTTTCTCTGTGTATAACCCTGGCTGTCCTGGAACTCAATTTGTAGACCAGGCCAGCCTCAAACTCACAGAGATCCACCTGCTTATACCTCCCAAGTGCTGGGATTAAAGGCATATGCCATCACTCCTGGCTCCCATATTCTTGATGTCTTTATTTGAATATATCATTTCAAACTCAGTGCACTTCAAATTGAGCTCCTGTTCTCCCTCTCCATCCTATCTTGGCTCATTGCTCATCCCAAAAACGTGGGAGTCTTTGTTGAATCTCTTTTTCCCATTCTTGCATCAATTTCAGAATCTAGTCCTTCCGTACCTTGACGAAGTCACCATCATCTCTCCTCAAAACTAACTTGCTCTTACTACAGCCTGTTCTAAACAGCACAAGCAGTCAGAGTGGCTTTGGACATGCAAATCAGGGCATGTCACCTCTCTTTAAGAAGACCTGTAGTGACACCTGGTTGCTTGGGGAAAACAGGGCCCTTTCTGGTGGCCTCAAGACCTTTGTTCCTCTCACCTCACCTGCCCCTGCTTGCCTCACTCTACTTCAGCCCTTCTGTGCGTCCTGACACTTCCTGCCTCTGCTGTTCCTCAGACAGAATGCCTTCCTTAAGACATCTGCTGGAACAGCTAACAGTTGACTTACACCTCTGTCAAGTTTTTCCACCTGGGTTCTTAATGAACTCTACCCTAGATCTAACACCTTCCTTAACTCCCTAGCCCCTTCCTTAATGTTCTTGTTTTTCTCTCGACCCTGCCCCTGCCCCCGCCGCCGGTATTACTAACATGATAGATACTTTATTCATCCATTACAGGTTTTGCTTTTCTGCCTTTCTTTTGCTGTAAACTATGAGTTCTACTCACTAGAGCCAGTGTGTTTATTTTGTTCACTTATATATCAGAGACTACAATGTGCCTGCCACATAGTAGGTACTTAATATTTCATGGATGAATAAACACATACATGCAGGAATGAATGAATGAGGGCTGTTTTCCCTTCCTGTTACCATCTCTGTCCTAAATACATCTTCAGAGGAAGTTGTCCACATTCTGGCATCTATCCCTTGCTTCATTTCCATTATTCATCGCGCTCATCTGTTGAACATTCCAGAGTGAAGCCCCATTTAAAAGCTGTCCCCTGAGAAGTCTAAGAGCACCTAGGCAGCGCAGAGGCTGCTTCGTCTGCACATTCTCTCCTCTGACAAACACCCCCTTTTGAGCCCCATATTGTGATGGTCCTGAGGACCGTGACTTGCTTGTCTTCATGTAGCGTAAAGCACTTATCCTCCTTGTCAATGTCTATAGAACCACACACTCTATCCAGATAGTACAGCGCCCTATAACTGAGATGAATACAGAGTTCTTCCAAATGTGGTTAGTTTTGCACAAAATTGCATTGCAGACATGGAAGCCTGTGTTTGTCCTTGTCTTGTTTAACTATTCTGCAGTAATCAGAGGAGAGCCACACAGTGTGGTGGGGCAGATGTGCCATTATCCTGGTACTGAGAAGCCTGGAGGCAGCTACTCCAAAAGTGCTCCGTAGCCACCAAAGCAAGGACTCAGAAAGCAGGGTCTATTCTAGAACCTAGCTGGGGTCGGTAAACTTTTCTCTGTTTACTTCATTCGCGTGGACACTCTAGTCCTGAAATCTTTCTTAGGGGAACTTGTATTTTGCTTCTTCTGTGGTGTTTTCTAGCATAGCATGGGCTAGTGCCCTTAAGTGGAATGAGCTCCCTTCAATGTTGACTGCACATCATGGTTTCAAAAAAGACGGTGATGCTGACACACGTAAAGGTTGGTGACACCAGTGATAGCAGGCGCTACAACAGCCCTGCGCTCTATGCCATGGGCATTGAGCTTGATAATCTTTCAATCAGGTGCTAGCTGATTATAAACCATACTGTTTCTTGTGTGTTGGTTCGGTTCGTACCCTTAGATCCGAGGCCTTGAGACTGCATACTGCATTGATAGCATGGGGAAAACAAACGGAGGCTTCGTGGAACTTGGACCCTGCCATAGGATGGGCGGGAACCAGGTAAGCCATCTTCCTTCAGCATTGGGCAACACTGAGAACCACAGACTTCCCTGTCCCAGACGGAGAGAGTTTAGTCTGATAAGTACATTCAGTAAAGCTGACTGCTAAAACATTTCACTTACATAGGGAATATCATCAGTGTTGGTTTTCACATAAGAATGTAGAACTGTCTCCACATCAGTAATTAAAGTATATATTCTTGTGGGAACATATATTAATCACAGTTGAGTGAGCCTAACTTCTAAGGTTTTACACATGTGGTTTATTAAGCCATACTTTTTCTTAATAAGATTGCTTATTAATATTGCTGCCGGTACCATGTATTTTATGTGTATATTTTCTTGCCTCTTTATATAGGTATTTTTCATATGTCTAATTTCAGTTGTGAAAAACTGGAAGGCCTACTTCCAGTTTTTAATTTTTTATTGTTGGTTGATGTTAAATATGTGTTAATTACCCATTCTGTATATTAGAGGCTAAAGAATTAAGGATGTAATTAACGTGTCAATAGAGGTCTTCACTAATTTCAAAATGAGTGTAATTCTTGTCTGCAAACTAATGGTTCCCAACATGCGCAAAAATTATAGAATAAGTTAATTTTTCAGTTTAATTTTTTTCTTTTTGTAAAAAAATATTGGCAAGAAAGTTATCTCCATTTTGCTTGTTTGTTGTTTGTTCAATAGCTTTTCCGAATCAATGAAGCAAATCAGCTCATGCAATATGATCAGTGTTTGACAAAAGGGCCGGATGGAACCAAAGTCATGATAACACACTGTAACCTAAATGAATTTAAGGAATGGCAGTACTTCAAGGTATGCTGAGTCCCAGCTCCTGGGATAATATATGCTGTCACGTCACTAAAAAAATAGCTGGTAGGATTTAGATGGATAAATTGTGAAGATCAGCTGTCCATGTTCGTGACTTGGATTTTCTGCAGTAGTTATTTGTACAGGTTTCCTTGGGCTCCAGGTGAATCACTGCTCTATAGAGGCATCACTTACCGGAGCAGTGTCATTATCATGAATCGAGACCATCAGGATGGACATGAAGAGTTAGTGCTAATTTCAGAAACTCAAGAATGCCGGTGCTCCAGGAGACAGCTTGCATTATTGTTTTGAGATCTAAATCTGATGTTAAAAATGTAAATGAATCACTCACTCATTCACTAAAGGATCAGCAGCATAAAAAGAAAGGTGTTGATGCCACATGGTGTCCAGCAGATGGCGATAGAGAATTAGACACTAGGCCTTCCTGCTTCCTCAACCTTCTCCACAAAGTAAAACAGAAGTTGCTTGTTTAAAAAAAAGGTCAAGTCTATTCACATGACCCTTGCTGGCTCTTGGGGCTGCTTTTTTGTTTGTGCTGTGCATGTTTGAAAGCTTTCTGGAAAGATTCAAACATATTAATGGATTAATACATAATTTTTTCCTTTGATTGAATTTTCTCACATAGATTTTTTTTCTCATATAATATATCTTAATTATGGTTTTCCCTCCCTCTGCTCTTTCCAGTTCTTTTCCACCTCCCCTCCCATCTGGATCCACTCCTTTTCTGTCTTTCATTAGGAAACAAACAGGCTTCTTAGGAATAATAATAAATTAAAATAAGATTAAGAAAAAAAAAACCTTCAGAACTGGAGAAAACAAACAAACAGAAGGAAAAGAACCTGAAAAGGCACAAGAGTCAGAGACCTACTCGTTTGCACACCCAGTAATATATAATTTTCAAAGTGTACATTTGGCTAAAACAAGTTGTTTTGTTACGAATTAAAACATTAGCAAAGCCTTTTCAACCTGAAAGAACCCAGAAAAGCTCTCAGTTCTACTCATTTAATATTTGATATCCCACTGTTGTCGTTAGGCACTGTGCATTCTGTAGTGATATTCCCAGGTGCCTGTCTTTCATGGATTATGAACATGTCAAGTCATTTTTATTTCTTGTTATTGTTTGTAGTGTTGTAGTGTGTGTGATATAAATGAGGAGAGGGACACTCTCAACCTGTGCTGTGTGTACAGGTCAGAGGACAACTTTGTAGAAGTGGTTCTTTCCTTCCACCTTTATGTGGTGCTCAGGGATGGAACTCGGGTTATAAGGCTTTGAAAGGAGTATCTCTACCTGAAGAGTTAGCTTCCAAGGCCTGATTTATTTCTTTCTCTCTCTCTCTCTCTCTCTCTCTCTCTTTCTTTTTAGTCAGCAGCTGGAAAGGATATTAACAAGTCCTGATAGATAAGTAGTGTTTATCTTCATAAATGAAAAAGATGAGTAGGAAATGGTAGAGACCTGTTAGAACAACAATTTTTGAAGTGTAAAAGAGTCTAGCAGACCAAAAGCTACCATCAATGAGCGGTTTTGTGGAGGCTGAGGCAGAAGGATTGTGAGTTCAAGGCCAGCCTGGACAACCTAGTGAAACCTGGCTCCAAAAGAATGGATGTTGTCAGGGGATAGAACTCAGAAGTACAACAGCAATAAATAGATTCTATTTTTTAAATCTGGGGGTTGATACTGAGGATTATATTTATTGTGTTTTAGCTATCTTTAAGATACTGGGTACACATTTGTCCATCACTCCCCGGGGCCCAGTTATGTGACATACACTGGGAGTGTGGAAGCTGTCAAAAACATGCTATTCTATAACATAGAGAAGAAAAATAATGCAGTGAAAAATAAGCAAAATGCTATCAGAAAGGAAAACAGGGAAGAGTGTATGTAAGTAATTACTTCGGATGAGTTTCCTTAGAGAGAAATTGGACGAACAAAGATCCAGCATGAAGATAGGCAGAAAGATCTTGGGAACTGCATTTGGGTTATCCCTTCTGTGGAAGCCAAGTAATGGTTTCTGATGTCAGTGATGTTGGAGTCTAAATTTAACACGTACTTTCCTTCCCCGTGCTCTCCAGAACCTGCACAGGTTTTCTCACATTCCTTCAGGCAAGTGCTTAGATCGCTCAGAGGTCCTGCATCAAGTGTTCATCTCCAACTGTGACTCCGGTAAAACTACTCAGAAGTGGGAAATGAATAACATTCATAGTGTTTAAGAAGAATCAAAGACGCCAACAATCTACCTACTGACAAGGACACTTAGAGAGGACTGAAAACCGCCTGGAACCTGCTGCAACCAGTATCATCAGTTCTGTCCAGCTCCAAACTTGGAAGCTCTCAATCGGTTGGAAGGATATTGATAAACTGTGATTTTACAATAACATTATCATCTGCAGTTACTGTTTACAAAACTGCTTTTACCTTAAACTCTGTAGATGTTTACATCGTTTGTTTCGTTTTATGATGATGTTGGTAATCTGTGCCTTTAACTCGGTTTCCAGACTGAGTTAAAGCATATGTTGTCTTCTTTGGGAATACACTCAGGGGTCTGAAAGGCAGTTTGGTTTTTTTTGTTGTTGTTGTTTTTTAACACACTTGAAAAAAAAAAAAAAAAAGGAAAGGTTGGAGTAACCAGACTTTCATATATGACTTGGTGGTTATCAACCTGCTGTGTCTTTATTTAATTTTACATCTTCTGGAAGCACCGCCATGGGCTGTTAGCCACGGTGGCCTTCTTTCAGTCGTGCTGCTTGTTTGAAAGGTGAATTTCAACACATTTAGTGCCTCTTTCATTTCTCACTATATTTTTGAGAGCTTCTAGTGAAATCTATGATGGTAGCAGTGGGTGGACTGTCACCTGTGTGAGAAATGCGTCTGTTACTCAGACATGGATTTCTGGGCTGCCAGTGGCTCCCAAGTGGAATGTGGTATAGCTGCAACAAGAATGACAGTGGGGACCATCTCAAGGCCATTGCATAGGGCTTGAAGATTCTGGGGCATTAACCCCCTTGCCTGCTAGTATTCTCAGTGCCCTTTGTTCACACCAACTTCTAGGCTAGCAAAGGGGTCTTCCTGCTAAAGAAAAATTGGCCACGTATATTTTGCATCCACTTTCCCCAGTATCTTTCACTATAGAAAACTAGAAATAATTCTCAGTTTCAAAGTTGAAAAGGGGATTGAGGACAGGGTAACAACACAATAAAGCCCTAGTGTGAACAACTTCAAAGTTGGTTCTGAGGTAAGAATTCTCAAGCCCTTGATAGATAGAAGCCTTAGAAAACTGCAGTGCAGCGAAAGCTGTGAAACCAAGATGAGTTGACACTTCATTTGTCTTCATTCAAATGAAACTCCATGCATATTTTTTTTTAATTTAGGAAAATTAGTATCTAATTTTCTACTCTTAGATCTTATTATCTAAGAATACAGATCATCAACAAATGTGAACTATGATCTGCTAAGTTAGATGTTAGTTCTGTAGGGCTCCATAATTTCATTTTTAGGAAATATAATTTTCTTTAATATTCACCAGTAAAAAGAAGATGTAACTTGAACATTTGTTAAAACAATACCTACTTTAAGAACCAAATGTTGCAAACTTTAATAGGAAGTCTATTAACCCCCAAAATTAAAATGTCTACACTGAGTGCCAAAAAGGAAAGAGAAGAAAAAAAACAATGTGATAAGAGGGGGACAAGTAAATTAAGCATTTTTGATCTTGTAATCATGGTATCAATGAAAAAAATTAACAAACTACTGCCAGAAGGAAATTTTTTCATTAAAGCTTAAAAAAGGAAAAGAAAAAAAAAAGCCTACATTTGTTTAGAATAGCTTACAATTTTTCTTCCAACCTTAGTTCTTTAATTTGGACAATAAAAATTAAACATCCTGAAATAGTTTTATTTATAATTTTGAATTATCAGTTTGTATTTTGCTACTGATCTGTGATCAACTATTTAAACTTTCATCTCTAGAGATATTTAAAAAAAGAAATGCATTTATATGCTTATATAATTGCAAATAAATCCACTATAAAAAAGGAAACTAAGAGAATTACTTGTGTTTGAAATTGACACCATTTTTTCCATGTTAAATAGATTTTAACCTTATATCTATGCATAGGCAAAGAAAGATGGCACACGAACTGTGCATGTAATTTTATGGGTAAATTGTTTTAGTACAGTTCGTTAGGATACTGTATGAACATGATTCTATATATTGAAATCAGAAACCTTACCACACATGACAACATCAGAAGCTGCCGCCATAATAACTATTTTGTACTTCAGGCCGCTTTGGAAATAATCCCCATATCCTTGCTTTGTAAGTTGATAATATCACTATGCATTTCTACACATTTTATAAATTTGATTTATGCAGATTTTGATACACTGTATGTTTCTGTAGAAATTGTACAAATATTCAGAATTTTATTAGGGTAAACTTGAGAAGCTTATGTATATCTTAATTCTGGGTTGCTTGTTTTTTAGGTGAAAAAAATAAAATATTGTATTTTAATTCATAGCTTTTCAGTACTTGTAATTATTTCTGTATATAATTGCACACTTAAAAAATTACACGGGTTTAAGAAAAGAGAGAGAGAAAAAATAAATATTCAGGTTACCCTCAAGGGGAAAAAAAAACATTACTCAGGCTTTTTACTTACAGGATATAGGGTTAACAGCTGAAATAATACAAACTATACTTATTAATGACTGTGTCTGAGTGTTGCTTAGAATTCTGCTCTGTGTGCTGCACATAGCTACCTGTAGAATGGAAACAAAGATTTCTTTTTACAGTCTTTTGGGTTCCTTGTTTCTAGCATTTTGATTACATAACCTATCTAATGATAAAATATAATCTCAGGAAAGAATATCTTTCTTGGCAGCAACTGCTTTAATAATATTGCTTATTGACATCAAAAATATTTTCAAATCAAAATGGCACATCAACAAAAGAAAGAATCCAAGGGAGTGAAAGTCTACCGAAACAAAACTAGAAATTGTCCATAGGACTTTGTCTACAAAGCAAACCATATCAAGATACAACATGGATACAGACAGTAAAAGTAAGTGACTACTCAGAGACTGTCTCACAAGGGATATTTTTCATTTCTAAACAGAATGTGATTGCAGCAGCCTCATATAAAATTGGGACAGGGTAACACTTAGAACAGAGACAGGTTGTGTCCTGGTTTACATAGAGTTCTGGGCCACCAAGTATTAAACACTGAAAAGAAAAGAAAAATCTTCTATACAAGTCAGTGAAAAACAAGGCTTTGACTCTTGCCAGAGTCAAAAGTTTGGGTACATGAAAATTAAAAGTGTTGAGCAGAGAATGAATCTGATTCAAGAACCAGACAGAAGTTTAAATAGTTTGTGAGGGCCCTTATCCCTGGGACTAGAGATTCAAGAAAGGACTTTCTAAAGTAGATCAAGAATTGTTTTGTAATTCTCTTTAAGATTTTGGATTGCCTATAATTGAGGTTAGTAAGTTTTGGTTTTTTTAAGTGACTACCTTTGAGCAGAGTTGCACCAGGGGCCTTCTTAATTTTTATAGTAGAAGATATTATAATCTGCTCAACTGAATGGTAGCACAACAGTGTTTGAACTTACCTGTTTGAACTTCTGTTCCACTACAAATGCCTTGTGTGTGTGACATAAGCTTTATAGCACAGCTTTCTCATTTACAATGCTTGCTTTATAGGATTTTCAGGGTTAAATGAGCCAGTGTGCCTAAAGTACTTATATACAGTTCTTAGCACATGGTCAAGGTCATTAATATAAGTGTTACTAATTTTCTGATTTCTATTGTAGTAAGACTGCTCCTTTGCAGACCCCAATAAAGGCAACATGTGAATGGATGGATGTATTGTACATTTCAGGTATTATGGCCCATACTTCACAAGGGAAATGAAGCTGGGGGGTTAAAAGAGCTGTACATGAAATGATGATACCAGAGAAGAAATTGTTCTATCTGCCGCATGCCCATCATGCAACCTGTGTAGCTGTGGCTTTCAGTAGTATTTTAAATGAAGTGTTACATGGGCTTTTGACAATGGTAAACTCTAGCTTTATTAAGGAGTAAGTGCCTTAAATAAAACTTTTGGTAGAAAAGTTGACATAGTCATTGGTATTGGACTTTACCTGCTATCCCTAACCAACCTTAAAATGACAAACACATGGGCAACTGTTGTCAGGGGCTGCACAGCAGGCAAAGCAGTGTGCTGCATTTAAGAGAAGAAACAATGGGCCAGAGAGAGAGCTCAGCAGTGAAGAGTGCTTCACTGTTTCTCTGTTCTTCCAGAGAACCTAGCTTCAGTTCTTAGCACCCACATGGCTGTTCACAACTGTCTGCAACTCCAATTTCAGGGAATCTGGCACCTTCATAGTTATACATGCAGGTAAAACACCACAGCACATAAATGTTAGCGAGAGAGAGGTGAAAGACGAACACAAGGTGAACCCCATGTTTACCATGTTTGTCTACCCTGGAGACAAAGAATGAAGATCAAGAGCACTAATATTGCTGAGCTGAGAAGACAGTGAGTGTCTGCTGTTGCAGCAGAAAAGAATAAATGGCGAAATGCCTAATGATAGAGTGGATAAAATATGACATAATCATATAATGGTTTTGTTTTCGTTTTTTCAAGTCACTCTCACTATATAGCTCTGGCTATCCTAGAACTCTCTCTGTAGACCAGGCTGACCTCAAACTCAGAGATCCACCTGCTTCTGCCTTCCAAGTGCTGGGTTTAAAAGCATGTGCTACTACACACAGTTGACAATCATAATCAGTAATGGTATACAATGAAGAACATGGATAAACTAGTGGCAAGGTTTAATGATACCATATTAAGTGAGAAGGCCAAATCCTAAGGGACTTTATTCAGTACTTTTTATAAATACCAAAAGTAACTAAGATATAAGCAAGCTGCACACACATGAAATATAAATTAAATTACTTGTCCGTCTTGAGTTTCCTGTCAGAGTTAAGGGTTAAACTCCTGGCCAGAAGGCCATGTTATCTGAGACTGGCCTCAAAGTTGTTATGTATCCTTCATGATGATGTTGAACTTCTATCTAATCTTTCCACACCCACCTCCCGAGGGCTGGGCTTAAGTGAGCACTACTGCACCTAGTTTAACATTTTACCAAGAGGATATGTGACTTGTGTACTATTACCAAAATAGTAAAATTGTTCCCAACTCTAAGCTCCTTGCTACTGCTTTTTGATTCTACAGTCTTGTCCCCCTATTCCCTTTATATTTGTATTTATGGTCGTTAGACTGCCTGTTTTTGTATAAAAACACCTCATCTTTTTTGGTAATATGGAAAGTCAGAGAATGCATATATATGAATGAATGGATGAATGATTATTATCAGTTTCCTGAGCTACAAATTTAACTAGTATCTGGGCACACACCTTCAGAGCTTATCACTCAGGAAGAAGTCTCTTGAATTTGAACTCAGGCTGGTTTACAGTGTCTAGGCCAGCCAGGGCGACCTACTGAGACACTGCCTTAGTAAAGGAGACTGAATAGGTGAAAACCATTTCCAGTTCTAAAATTTGGTGAATCGGTTTGAAATTTGGCACTACTGGGAACCTAAGTCATTCCTTACTTTTATTTTTTTTTCTAAGTATTATTTCACCAGTTTATATGTATGGGTGTTTTCTATGCATTTATGTTTGTACACTACATGCTTTCCTGGTGCCTGAGGCCATTAGAACTCCTGAAACTGAAAAGTTACAATTGTGAATCACCATGTCCTTTGCAAGAGCAGTCGATGCTCTTAAGAGCTGAGCCATTTCTCCAGCCCTGATTTTTCATTTTTAAAATGAACACTGTAATTGTGCTATTCTACAGATGTGATAGTTAGGAGGGAAGCTCACCACGAGGTGGTGGAGGCCCAAGAGCACAGTGAAGCTCACTGAGCACCCTGGAAAATTTTTCTGTGAACCATCATAGAAGTGGCAACGTTCCTGGATGGGCTCTTAACTATGTATGTTTTCTTTGACCTTAACATGATTGTATTGCCAGGAATTCAGATTTCAGTGTTTATAAACTTAAGATTTCTGATTCTACTTGAAAATTTGAGAAATCTACGAATTTTATACCATTTCTGCCCAACAAGACAGAGTTAAAAATAATGCTCCTCCCATTTATCTTAACACTCCTGTTTATAAATCTTCATAGAACATTCTGCCAGTAAGATACAGCAATATGGAACAGCTCATCACTTCCAGCCCTTTCCCATCTAGTTTCTGGGCTTTACACTTACCAACCAACACACAAATCTCTAAAATGGCATTCCCACTGCAAATCTCATGAAAAAAATAATTTAAAACAGGCTCATTTCTAGTATTGCTTCACCTTTAACTAAGTCCTAAGAAATTTCCTAATAGTTCCTTTACTTTTTTTTTCCTTGCTGAGAAATAAAACATTTCATGTCACAAAGTAACGGGGAGACAGGTTTTCTCTGTGTAGGCCTGGTTGTCCTAGAACTTGCTCTGTAGACCAGGCTGTACACTAACTCAGAAATCCACTTGCCTCTGCCTAGGAATAAAAGCATGCCCCTCCACCGGCAAATGGGAAGTCAAAAGATTTAAGATGTACTTATTTACTATTCGTGATACTCTTAGAAATATTCGTGTCGCCAGTGCGGTTGCCCAGCAGGTGAAGGTGCTCACTGCCAACCAAGCCTGACAACCTGAGCTTAATTGCCAAGTCCCACATGCTAAAAGAAAACCAACTCCTACAAACTCTCAACATTTACACGTTGTCCCCCATGCACACAAGCGTACATGTTTATAATGTCTGTGTGCGAAGGACCATGACACACACAGAGGTCAGACACAGCTTTTCAGTTTATCTGGGAATTGAACTCCAATCACTAGGCTTGGGCAACAAGTGTTACTACCTGATGAGCAATCTCCCCAGCCTTGTTTTTTTTTTAAAAAAACCAAAGGACAATTGTTTTTGGTCGTTGGCTGAGATAGGCTTCCCAAAGCCACAAAAGTTAAACATTTACTACATCCAAATAAATCCGTGCATTAAAAAAAAGTCAAAGAAAAAAATCAGTTTATATTTTTATGTATGTATTCATTTTGTATTTATATATACATATATTCTTACCAAGTACCACTTTCCCTAATACAAGTCTCCACAAAGACTTTGAGCAATGATCACAGCAAACACCCTCAAAATGTAAAAAAATACTCATCATTTTGGAATGTGATACATGTGAAACATATCAGAATAACTTATGAAATTTAAGAACCAGTATACTGATGGAACAGGTACTGCTCCTATGAGCAATTTTGTCAAGCTTTATTTAATTACTAAAGCCCATGAGCAGTTTTTAACAAACTTCAAGTAGAAGTTTGGGAGAAAATAGGCTACTGAAGTTAGCTAAGGTTATTAGTTCATTTGCCTGGCATGTATGCAGCCCTGGTTCAAGCTCCAGCACTGCTAAAAATTAAAGTGGGATTACTTTTTTAAGCAGCAACCTCTATTA